CCGTCGCCGTCGCTCGAGTGTGGGCCGTCCTATGAATTCGCGCATCGCGGCTTGATTGCATATTGGCTGTTTCCTTTTCTAATTCGAAAACTACAGCCAGTATCTCTAAATAGTATAAGAATTTTTTTATTCCCTTTGATCCATTCTCCGCCTCCAATGTGGCCCCGACCCATCTTAAGAGACACCTTGTATATACATATACATATGTTATTATATATATATATTAGGTGTTGGAATTAATTCGTAGCGTTTTTTAATGAAAGAATGTTATTTATTTCACATGAGCATTAAAAAATACATTAATGAAAGTACTTCCCATCACTTGTAAAACGCTACGAATTAATTCCAACACCTAATATATATATATAATAACATATGTATATGTATATACAAGGTGTCGCCTCCATCCTGAAGCGCCCGCACGCTCTCTGTAACGCAGCGCTGTCCATATTGGCGAATGCTGCTTCGATAGCGGCGCGGAGAGACGAGACATTAGGATAGGATGTCGCGACTTGTTGGTAACCCATTCAACAACGCTCCAAACATAGTAGTCGAGGGGGTTCAAATCCGGGCTATTCGCGGGCCAAAACTCTTTGGACCACAACATGTCCGCATTGTCTGATAGCCAGTTTTGGAATGGGTTAGCGGAACCTTCCTCGGACTTCTCCGAAGCATTGTATTTCGCCACAACATCATAAACAGTCGATCTCGAGTACCCGAAGAATCGAATGATCTCGGTCGCCGAACGCCCAGCGCGAAGGCTTTCAATAATCGCGGCTCTTCGATTGTACTCCGCACTTGTACGTATCATCTCGGCTATTTTAAGATTATGACTGTTTACTAGACGCCCATGGTGTTCAAGAACCTCAATCGCGACTTCTGATGGTACTATGATATGGTGGGAAATTCAAATTGAAATTTGTCCAGATTTAACTGCCGCACCCTGTATATACATAATGCGTATATATATATATATATATTAGGTGTTGGAATTAATTCGTAGCGTTTTTTTATTTGTATTCATATGTAAATAATATGGTATATTTCTTGTTTATGAAGAAATTATTTCAACAAAATTGAAATAATTAATATCGTATTTATTTTATTATTATTTTTCCTCTAAAAAAAAAACTTTGACCAAGGTATGTAAGAACGTTTATTATGATAATATGGGCCTGAGTAGGTCGATAATTCAGATCATTTCTATGATTCAGCGACGCACTTTTCATGACAGCGCCGTTGTCGGAATATTGCGGAACTTAAATACTGTTTGGTTTCGTGGCTTTACGTAAAATTTCATTCGTAATATACAAACAAAATTTTCGGAGACTCTTTTCTTTTATATTAAAACTACCTTTCTGAAAGCAGGATTGTTTTTTTCTGCAATTCGCAGGTTTTCTGCCATTTGCCAGCTACTTTTTATAAATGTGCAAGATCTGAAACTCTTATATGCAGCACATATTGTTGACTACAGAAATCGATAACAAAACTGTAAGTCTTCAATTTTTTTTCGTTTTTCGTATTCAATGTAGCTGGCGAATTGCGTTGTTGTTGATACTTTAATTGTGGAGAAGGAGTTTTCAATTCATAAACACAATTAAGAGAAAAGAGTCTTTAATAATTAATGGTAAAACAGGACACTCTAGCATCCCCTTAAGGCACTGCGCCGATGACTTTAACCTTGACATATGTTGTCAAGGTCACGATTCTGAGTTACTTTGCCTTAATAACTAGGTGGCGCGGTCTCTTATAGTTTTTGAAATATTTAGACTTAAAGGTCTAATTTGTGTAATAATTAATTACATTAAAAGACAGCACGCCGATGACCTTGATCTTGACATATGTTGTCAAAGTCATAACTTTGAATGACCTCGATTTTATGCGGCGGTCGCTGTCCGTTAAAAAATTATTAACAAAAAGAGTTTAAAAAATAGTGTCCCTTTTCTACACTATAGAGGCATACGAGTTTTCGCGCTCTTGAAGCAGGGGGGAGATGGGATGAAAGTTGTTCACGTGGAAAATCATAAAATATATTTTAAAGCAGGAAATTTCTGTTTTACATAATAGAAAAGAGACATTTTTCAAACTTTTAGTTTAATTATCCCAAACGATAAGAGATAAGAGACCGCCACCTAGTTGTTAAGGCAAAGTTATTCAGAATTATCAACATATGTCGAGATCAAGATCATCGGCGCGATGTCTCTTAATATACATAATTATCAAAATTTCTATCATGTATTTTACATTGAATCTGATGAAAAATATTCATGTAAAATATCCAATAAGTTTCGAGTGATTTTCTTTTGTCAATCTGTTCTAAATAAATAACGAATATGAGTATAAATACGATATGTATCTAAAGAATTCTACAGATCTAGAATGATTAAAACCGAATATTATAAAAATCAATTCAAAATGACAGCAGTTGTATCTAACTTGAAAAATACCTACAATAGGCTTTATAAATGACGATAAAGTCTTATAAAAATTTAATCGTTTCTTATCGGATTTTTTTATCAGGGTTGTATTGTCTGATTGATTAATGATGCCATGCTTCTAAAGCTTTTCATTTTTATTTCATTATGCGCACTATTTGTCAACGACGCATTTTTATAATATTAAATTACATATCTAATTAATGATCTCTGCCATGGGCATATTGTGGATTTTTTTTCAGAGATCGAGATCTTCTATCAACCCAGGGATGTGTCAAACTATGCATCAAATGGAGTGACAACAAAAAAAGGATTTTGCTATTGTATTGAAAAGAACATTATGGTATCAATTTTGTTGTTGTAACATTTACAACAATTAAATTTTTTAAAATTAATGAATTTCATTTGGATATTTTTGCAGCTTTTAATATCTCCTTGTACCTTATTTTAAAAAGAAAAAATGTTACGTTTTGTACATAAGGAAACTCTTCTTAATTTTTTAAAGAAATTTTTTCAAAGAAGGATGTTTGAGATCGGTAATTCGAAAAAAAGGTAAGAATTCCTTCGGTCGACCGACAATAATTGTTATTGAACGCACGCACAAGGCGAGCTCGTGATTTCATCTCGAGCCTGACATTAAGCCTCGTCAAAGTCAGGGATTCATTGTTCTTTAGTCTTTTCAAAACAATTCGGTTCACGCAAACAGGCACCGGCAACGGACCATCGAAAGTTCTAGAACAATTCAATTCGCGCACGCGAGCGCCGCGCTCCGACGAATACGTCACGCGCTGTCACCAATCCCGCGTACGGATTTTCTGTCGCGCATGACTGTTACGTTGAACGTCGCTAGAAAAGAATCGAAAGCGCCAATCAATTTTGTACAACCAATGCCACGTGATAATTACGATTGTGGCTAAATTTAATTAGATTTCTCCCAAGAAGAAAGCCCGGACCGGAAGCAATAAATGCTTCGATCTCGCCGGTCCTCAGAGCAGATTGAGCAGATTGCGCAGATTGTTTAAATAGTCTACACCGCTTATACCGTCTACACCGCTTAGAATTCTTAGACTTCTTCGCCGAAATTTCCCATCACCGCGATTCCAAATACAATTTTGGAAAGGGTGACCACATTTGATATTTTGTTAATCTAATATTTAATTAATTATATTTTTTGACTCTGTAACTGATTATATTAAAGAAAATTCTTTTGTTAAATTAAAAGAAACGGAGTTCTCTTTACTGTCGTGCATCATATCAACCTTGTGCCGTTCTCTCACTCGAATCTTTCCGCGCGGTGCGCTCTCGCACAAAGGACAATACTAAAACAAAATGTTTAATTCTTTAATATTGTTATTATATAACATTACGTAACTTTTATATAAACATTCCTTTTTATATGAATAGAATAAAAATATTATAAACAAATATGAAGTTCTTTCTCTTTTTTATTCTATGAAATTTTTTTCAAAATTAAATAATTATGTGATGACTTTTTTCCTGAAATAATTTAAATACTTCTTCAGGATTAACGATAATATCTTTGTGAAGTGATATAAGAGCCATGCCATTCAGACGATCTTCCGCGATTATATTGCGCACATAATTTTTTAATTGTCTTAAGTTGAAAAAGTTGAAAAAGTCCTTTCAGAAGTTATCCTAACCTTAGATACTAGTAATATTACTAATAATAATTTTAGTAATTTCGAAATGTTAGGAAAAAATAAATTTCAACGCAGAAGACATTCCACGGCCTTAGAAGGAGATGTCTCATTTTTCCATATAAATATACAGGATCATTCAAGATAAACATTTGTCCTTAAAATTTCATATTCCTGGTTTAATTTTAAGATTTTTCCTTTATCAGAATTTTGTTGAAATTTGGTTTTTAAATTATAATAGGGAATAGTTAGCGAATGACGGGGCGCATATACAAGGTAGCTAGGGGCGGCTGTTTGACGCAAACGATACGGGGAGTTTCGCTGCGATCATTTTTAATATAAAAGAACTTGGCACAATGAAGATCAAGTCAAATTTACTAGCGACAAAAAGTTATTTTTACATTAAAAATTTCTTTCAATTAAATATTCTTATTTTCATGTATTTTTTTAGATTAGAGAATAGAGATAGTATTATTTAGATTGAGTTAGAAGATTACACATGTGATATTGTTTCTTAAGTGAAAATACAAATAGGTACTACTTGGATTTAACTTTGATAATTTGGAATAAAGATATCAGCATTTGTTTCATTTTTATTTAATTAAAAGATTAAAATACAGTTGTAAAGTCGCAATGAAATTATAAATTCCAAACGTAATTGCACACAATTATAAATATAAATTTCTCAATTATTTGACTTTTCATTAAAAAAATTTTGTTGTAAGAAGTTTTCGATTATAAGTGAATATAAAAAAATGTTTACTTACAACTGTAAAATGCAGCAAATAATCATATCTACATTTTTATTGAGGTCATCGTGCTCTTTCACTCTGTACTCCCACCAGCTCTATCACAAGAAATAAGAAAGTACAAGCCGTTACTTTAGCCAGTCTGGTCGGCTGTCTCATCAGCGGACCACAATTTTGTACGGTCGTATAGATTACAACGCACGTTAATAATTTTCGTTTACCTAAATTGAAATTGATACAATTTGAAAGAAAAGAAGGTTAAATATTTCTCGATTTTTGCCGAGAGCAATGCAGTGGCTTATGTTACTCTGCTACAGTGAGTGAGAATGCATCTTTGTTTCTGTTTGTAATATTCTACCAAATACTACGAACTGAAATTATAAACGTCCAAATTACTTAAAATAATTATTGCCTGACTATTAAAATTCGAATTGCCCGATTACTCAAATTCTGGTTATATGAATTATTTAAATAATCTGATTTTTAATACTCAATTAAACATAAGTGGCAATTTTTCGTTATTTTGTTGTGGTTATTTGATCACAAATGACGTCACATGTCGATTAAATGATGTGTATTTAACGTTAATTAACACGTCAAAAAGCTTTTGTAATAATTGTAACATTATAAAAATTAAATTCATCAAACGTTTAATTCATGTGTTCCATATACGTAAATGACTTTAAAAGAAAATATTTATTTTACTATCTATCGTATTTTACTTCCTATCTTTTTCAAGTTTTATATACAATTTTTATTCAATATCTATGAAAAAGAGATACATTTTAATAAGATGTAAAATACTTGAACTGAATAAATTCCTGCACTAAATAAGACCCACTTTTAAATTTATTACTTTAAAACTCGCTCTACGTGCAGTATATGCTTAAAAGATATGTTATAGGAAATAGATAAAAAGGGATTAAAGAATTGGAATCGGTAACAACACGTTTGTTTAACTCAATAAAAACTTGTGTATATGAGTCATTTTTATATAACAATCCGCTGCAACATTTACCAGTTTCATAATTTATAATGATTCATTATAATATTATTCAATTTCCTAGCTATGGAAAATAACAAATAAATCAATTTTTTTTAAATAAGTATAAGTATTTTTTTTTAATAATGTACTTTATTAAATAATGCCCTATATGATTATTGTTGTAACTATTATCATTTGTTTGTTATGAAATGTATGAAATTTAAGCCAGAGAATAATGATTTTCAATGCTATTATCTTTTAAGAAGCCAAAATTGCATTCAAATTGCTAGAAATTTCCAAATATTAAAAAGTTAATTATAATATAAACATAGTTAAAGATAATTATAAGATAATTGTTTGAGAATAGAGTAAGTTGTAAAGAATTTCTTTTCTATGATTAATAATCATTTTTAAATCGATTGATTGAAAAAGATAATGTTTATTTTCTTTTTTATTTTTAATTTATTTTTTATTTAGGCCTTATTATATTTATATCAAAATTTAACAAAATTTTTTTTGTTCATTTACAGATATTCTATATAAATAGTATATTTTACTTTTGTGAGTAAATGAAATGAAGATTTGATTGCCACTTAGTTTATTTCAATATTCCCATAAGTAGAATTTTTTAAAAATAAAATGAATTAAATGGATCTTATTCGGCTCAGGTACTTTATATATTTCATAGATATTGGATATAAAGCTAGAATTAATGGAGCAGTTCTTAAGTTAAAGTTTATAAATGTTTTTTACAAAATCTGATTTTTGAAAAAGTTTTTGAATTTGTCATTGATTAAAGGTACATACGATGTCGTGAAATAATTTATTGTTAGAGTTAGTGCTATTATTTGTTAAATTTTTTTTTAAATACTTAATTGCTTGAATTTCGTAAGTAATCTTTTTTTAATATTTTTTAAAATAAAATCCAATTGATATCCATTTTTAGGAGTTTAATGATGAGATCAAAGTTTTTCTTGTGGAACTTGGAATGTGATAGTAGTAGTACTCTGTCGTGATAATAGCACTAACTCTAACAATAATCCAAAAATAAATTATTTCACGACGCCGTGCGTACTTTTAATCAATGATAAACTCAAAAACTTTTTTCTCACAAATAACCAAGCAATATGTTTAATATATAAAGGCCTTATTAAATTAAGCACATTCATCAGAGCACAAAAAGATCGATTAATTACATTATTTAGCGCGAGCGTGGTGTAGCAGATAGTGCACTAGTCTGATATACTAGAGATCCTGGGCAGAAGCGACAAATTTTCGTACACTCGTAACTCCTCTCGGAAGGCAATAGCAAACTGAGTAGTATACTTACCCAGGAAACCTTCCTATTAAAAATTGCCGTTCGGCATTTAAATTGTAGGTCCCATATACGTTGTGTATGATCAGTGTGCGCGCAAAGTTATATGAGAAAGAGACGCTAAGATAGCATATGGCACTTGAAGAAGAAGAAGAAGATCTACATTATTACATTCAAACACAGGATTTTGTCGAGATTGTGAGGTATCACACGTAGGACAAACAAAAAGACTATTAAAGATTAGAATAAGTGACCGCAATTATATTAACAAAAACACACTCCAATATTCCGTAATTACAGAACATGGAATGTTCTAATCATGATTTTGAGTGGGACAAAATCAAAATCTTAAATGAAGAAAAATCATTAAGTAAAAGACTAATTTCTGAGACGATATTTATTAACAAACAAAAAAAGGATTGAATTTACAAAGTGATAGTGATATGTTAGATTCTCATTATATATTGACTCATTTAAAAAGAATTGATGACAATTTAGTTTAGAACACTGTTTTGTTTAAAAAATTGATACCTCTATTTTTTGACTTCATATCTTGTGTTGGCTCACATTTGCCTATTTTCTCATATCTTTTGATTTATTCTTTGGAGCCTTTGGAAATATTATTACTTTTATTGAATTATTAATTTAAAAAAATATGTACAGAGTGGAAGGTACACAAAATGTTATATATTTAATTATCTCATTAAAACTATATTTAAAAAGTATATAGCATAGAATTTGAAGCAATATTGCTGCAAAATCTATGCTGCAACATGCAATGTTGCTGTAATGTTGCTGCATTGTTGCAACTTTTGTACTGTAAAGATATCGATTTTTTGAAATGTGTGAGTAAATTCTGTATGTACTTCGTCAAAATTTTATTACGTGTGACATCACAGGTCGTTTTACATAAAAGAAATATCGAATAATATTACATTTAAAAAAATTATTAAAAAGTATTATAACCATTATTAATGAATAAAAATTATGTTGTGAATTAATAATAACTCCATGAATTAATGATAAAAAATATGGAAATTTTTTTACGTTGCGATAATTTCGAATTCTTATTATGTCCGATATAATCCTTCTTCCTCAATAAACACAAGATGGTATATAATATCTTTCAATGAAATATTTACAGGAGGTCTAAATACGTATGATTCTAGTTGTGATGTCAGGCTGATAGACATTGTCATATACTAAATATATTCAGCTTTCTAACGTTATTCTTCAACCCATTAAAATCGTATTTAATAAACGCGATATTATCGCAATTAAAATTTTGAGTTCATTTTGAGAAAAGGAATCGGACGTAAAACGCGGATACTCCGATCCGCGGACCCGTGCATACGGATCTGGATTGGTTTCGCGGATACCCGTTAATTCGGATACCCGCAGAACTGCGTACGATACGGGTACGCGTATTGTGTATAACCTGCCAATGCGGGTATCTACTATATGCTGCAGATATTTATGCGTAATTTTGTTAATTTAAAAAAATTTGTGTTTTAGAATCGTTTGTAGTAATTCTCATTTCGTTTGTAGCTAATTAGTTCAAATTATGTTGTAACTTTCAAAATATTCAACTATAAACGAAAGGAAAATCTCGGTCTACAAATGTATCATAGGAAATAGATAAAAAGGGATTAAAGAATTGGAATCGATAGTACCATGTTTATTTAACACAATAAAAACTTTTTTGTACGTAACATGAGCCATTTTTATAATAATCTGCTGTAAAATTTATCAGTATACAATGTTTCATAATTTATTATAATTCATAATTTTATTGTAATATTCAATTTCCTAACTATAAAAAACAACTGATAAATCAATTTTTTAAAATAAATATAAGTATTTTTTTAAAACAATGTACTTACTAAATCAGGCCTATTTATGTGATTATTATTATAGTCATTATTATTTGTTTGTAGAGTTTACGTTAGAAAATAACGATTTTCGATGCTGTTATCTTTTAAGAAGTCAAAATTGCATTCAAATTGCTAGAAATTTCTAAAGGTTAAAGGATGAATTACAAATAAAATTAAAGATAATTGCAATATTTGAGAATAGAGTAAGTCCTAAGGAATTTTCTTTTTATGATTAATAATCATTTTAGAATTGATTTAGAAAGATAATGTTTAGAGTAAAGTCATCTATTAGAGATACCTTTTTTAAAGGCTTGTAATTTATTCAATTTGTAACCTGAATTTCTGCCTTCATTCAAATTTACAAGAAATATATATATTTAAGTTTTATCGCCAAAAGTTAGCAATCGATAATAGCTATACTTTGTTGTATGAGAAATTTTTTATTAAAAGTGCCGATTTTAATCATGTAAAAAAAAAGGTTCCTAATATAAGATATAAGAGTTTTCTTGTATGAAGTAGTATATGCTCGTAACAGGAAACAAAGGAAAAAATAAAGATAAGCTTTTTACACCCTTTTATTATATTACATACAAGTAAGAACAAAGAATTTAAATGTTATACATAATAATTATACAATTTTTCGATGTGTGTATATGTCAGTATGTGTGAGTAATTTTAACAAATAGATCGTCATTTAGAATCGTCATTTTTAACATTTCGTTCATAATATGCTTCGAGATATTAAATTGTTTAGATGTTCTCATGTTAGCTAGGACTATCCTGAGTATCTCATATGACTTCTATGCAGTTTCACGATCATCAAATTTAATCTTTATAGTTAAACAAATCACCATATCACGTGTTTTCCTATGAATACGATCTTATTCGATCACTGCTTGCAGACTTTATTATCCAATATTTATTTTATATAATAAAACAAGATTTGAAGACTCTCTAATCACAATAAAATTTGACAACATTTGATTTCACAAATCTTTTTTTGCACGGCTACATGATCTAATAATGAATTTTCTACTAAATAGGTTTCACATAAAGAAAAAAAAATTCATGACAGAACCAAACATACGTGCTTATTAGTTTAGCAGAAATGCCGCTATCTCATATTAGGAATCCATAATAAG